GAAAACAAACAGGTTCGTACTGGAGAGGGTAAAACCAGGCTGCTCCTTGGAGGCAAGGATTCTGAGGCTTCATCTGATATACTTTGGGCATGTTACAAGGATGGACCAGTCTTGGGAGAGGGACCTCATGCTTGAAAGGATGGAGGAACAGAGAAAGAAAGGGAGACCATCGATGAGATGGATTGATTCAGGGACTGGGATAATAAGAGTAGGTGTGTTAGAGACAGTAAAGTTGGCACAGGATAGAGCAGGTTTCAGGGCTATCGGACACAGGTCTCTATGAGTTGCAAGTGACTTGACGCAAATAACCGCCACCTTTGGGTTAGGGAGCTCTGCTGGCCTAGTGGCAAGAAGCTGCACTGCAATACCGAAGGCATGTAGTTCAAGGCTACCAGCTGCTCCGCGGAAGAAGGATGGGCAATCTCCTACCATGTGATTAACTGCCTCTGAAAACCCGCCAGAGGGTCAGCTATGGGTCAGTTCCGACTACAACAACCACCTCTGGGTTGGCAGAGCAATATCCTATCTACTAGGCCATCAGAGCTCCAATTCCACACTGATAAAGTCCTAGGAGGGCCATTCAGCCTGAAAATAGCCCCAGGAAGCTCAGTTTCAAGATCAACCACAACAATCACTGAATGGCCAAATCATACAGGCTTCTCAGGGCAATCCACTCACAACACTGATCTCCTCTTCCTCACCCAGTCACTTGGGCAAAGAATTCATGCCACATTTTACTTGTTCTTGGGAGTAAAGATCAAAATAATCAGGTTAAAACAGTAAGTACAGTAAGCTGTGTCTCTATGCCTGAAAGTGACCATGTGTTCATTATGTACTCCAAGGGATAAAGTTACGTAAAATGCTTTCTCTCTGAACTTTCCTTTAGAGATTTTTAATAAAATATGGCTAATGAAGCAGGTGGTTTTTAAAGACTATTTTCCTTCAAAATAGACTCTCCACCGCTGGAATCAGCTCCCATTCATAGCAACTCTGTGGGACAGTGTAGAACGGTCCTATAGAGTTCTCAAGGCAATAAATCTTTAGAAAATCTTCATGGAGTAGATGATAGGTGTTAACTGCCAACTCTTTGTTTAGCAGCCCAGTACTTTAACCACCAGCCAACAGGGCTCCTTAAAAATAGAGGAGATAGCCCTAAATTGAGTGTATTTTGAAGTTATTTCAGTCGTTCGGATATTTCCTATGTACCAGTAACATTAAAATTCTCAAAAGAATATGATACCAAGGGGGAAAACCCCATTAAAATAACTAGGACTGCGGAATATCAACCAATATCCAGTAACTGGAATGTTTATACTAGATGCCCTCTTCCAGGTTATTAGACTGTAACTTCAAATAACCCAGACTGGTAGGTTTAGGGAGTTACCACTGTCAGAAATGCCTTTCTTATCTCAAACAGAAAAAAGCAGCAAGGTAATAGGTCAGGTTAGCTTTAAAAAGTAAGTCTACCTCATTTCACAATAACTGAGACTGGCACCACCCTCCCAGAAATCAAATATAATTGTTCCAACTTATCAGAGGAAATGAGAAAGGAAATAAGTAAAATATAATGAGGGCTCAAAGTCTGACAAAACTTAGTATTGAATAGGAAAGTTATAATAGGAAGATGTTGTTCTTATGTGTCACTGAGTCAGAACCAACCTATAGTTGACCCTCCAGTGTATTTTCAGAAGTAGTAATCACACAGGTGGAGAATGGCCATCTATCTCCCAGGGGACATCTGGTGGGTTCGAAGTTTTTTCCTTTGGGTTGGCAGGACAGCTCTTTACCACTAGGTATCTTTAAAATGGAACCAAAAGAATAAAATTCAAGTCAACCTTTTTTAGAATACATACTGCACTTCTGGGTCATTGTCCAGGTGTGATCTCACCCCAATACAAAGGAACATCGACCTCTTTGATTTTATGAAGAACACTACAAAGAAAAGAGAAAGCCTTCTACATTTCTGACTCTAGGCCAGTAGATGGCCACAAAAGAAGAAATACCTGTTTCCTTTTTTCCCTTAGGTACATATTAAACACTTTTTCCTTTAGTATGGATTAAGGCTTAATGTCAAGAAGACAAAGATTCTCACCACTGGACCAATTGGCAGCATCAGGACGTATGGTGAAGAGATTGGGACTGTTAACAACTTTACTCTGCTCGGCTCCACAGTCAACACTCTTGGCACCAGTAGCCAGGAAATGAAAAAAAGTATTGCGATGGGAAAGTCTGCCGTTAGGGATCTCGCCAGGATACTGGAGAGCAATGGTGTCACTCTGGAGACTAAGGTGTGTCTGATACAGGCTATGGTCTTTGCGATCACTTGTTATGCATCAGAGAGTTGGACAATGACCAAGGAGGATAGAAGGAGAATTGATGCCTTTGAGCTGTGGTGCTGGAGAAGAGTATTGA